ACTGGGGGTCAAATCTCCTGGAGGGGAGAGTCCATGTAGCTGACGTTTTGGGAACAGAGTGGGGTGACCAAGGGGATCTTACCAATCCAAAGCACTCTATTAAAGAATGTTGTTCCTGCTACACTTGTAAGAGATAAAACTGTCTCTTCAAGGCAGGAGGAAGAGAGTTGCATTTGGGAAGCTTCACAAGTGGGTGGGGCCAAAACAAAGATTCTAGAGGGAGGGGCTGAGGGGAGGCATGGCTGCAGTGCACCCTTTCCTTGCCGAAACCTCAAACACATTGAGAGCAGGGCTGATTCTCCAAAGAGGCAGGAGAATCTATGTCTGAGCACCTACCATGGTACTCAAAGGGTTTGGGAAATGCAGTGGACACTGGGCAAGCCAGGCTATGTGAACAAAGTCTGTCCATCATAAATTGGCTGTTAATCTTGTGTCTTTTGCTACTCCACCTATGGTTCAAAACAAGGGAGTTAATACTAATGGTAAACCCTTTGAAGATGTGTGACATACCCGATTTTTGGGAAAAAAATTTGTACATGCTAGGGATGGTGACAAGACAGTCCCACAAGCATGCTGCTTTTCAGTTTCTACCTGTAAGCAGGCTGGAAGCTTCGCACAGCAGCAAAAGCATAACAGGCCTACACTCCTGTGTGGAAGGGGGACTGGGACACACCGCCTCATGGCATTGGTGACTAAATGCGAAGACACATACATTTTAACAGAAATTGCGATCTGCATTCTGTTAGCAATACTACACCTCAACACATTTGCGGGCACCTGGGGACCAGGAACCCCAAACCTTTCTAGGACACCTATGAATGACACCATAGGATTTAAAGGTACTGGAAGGGGGCATGACCAGAGACAAACAGGGATTTTACATGTACTGCCTCTGCCATACACAGTGTCCAAGACTCCGGCAGTAAGTTCAGGAGGAGGGTGTGATGTTGCACTCCATAATGTTTTATGGAAATATGCTTATGAGTGTGAATATGACGTAACTGGAATATGCTTTATGCAAAAGATCTCTTGTACAGTATCATCACAAAGCTTATGATCTACTGAGTGTGTTCATCCCACTTGTTTACATGTATTATTTCTATGTCTGGAGTTAGGAGAATAAGATATAAGCTTGTATTACTGATGTAAACATATTAAGTGGAAGCCATTAAAGGTGCTTCAGAATCAGTGACCTGTAAATTGCTCTGTTTACTTGCAAACCTTCCCGGGTACATGCAGGCCAGCCCTGGAAGAATGGAGGCTGGGGTCTCACAGGACATGTGAACATGTCACCGGATACTGGAATCCATCTTAAACCTGGTGCTTTTCCATTTAGAAGAAGGGGTGGGGACCCAGAGAGAAAAAGATTCCCGCCTTGTGCCAAAGCATTAAAAGGGGGTGGAACAGAACAAAGGAGGCTGCCAGTCATGAGAACACCCCTGCTTTCCACCTAAGATGTCTGCTGGAACTAACAAGGACTGTACCAGGGGAAAGGATTGGGCCCAGACTAGAAAGGAGTCTAGTCTGTGAAAGAAGCTTATTGGAACATCTCCAAGGGTGAGATTTTACCTGTAAATAGTTTCTTAATGTATTAGGCTTAGACTTGCGCGGTTTTGCTTTATTTTGCTTGGTGACTTACTTTGTTCTGTTATTACTTGAAACCACTTAAATCCTACTTTGTATACTTAATAAAATCACTTTTCTTTATTAATGAACCCAGAGTGATTAACACCTGGGGGAGCAAACAGCTGTGCATCTCTCTCTATCAAAGAATCATAGACTTTAAGGTCAGACGGGACCATTACGATAGTCTAGTCCGACCTCCTGCACAATGCAGGCTACAATCTCACCCACCAACTCCTGTATCGAACCCCTAACCTATGTCCGAGTTACTGAAGTCTTCAAATCGTGGTTTAAAGACTTCAAGGTGCAGAGAATCCTTCAGCAAGTGACCCGTGCCCCACGCTGCAGGGGAAGGCAAAAAAACCCCAGGGCCTCTGCCAATCTGCCCTGGAGGAAAATTCCTTCCCGACCCCAAATATGGCGATCAGTTAAACCCTGAGCATGTGGGCAAGACTCACCAGCCGGACACCCAGGAAAGAATTCTCTGTAGGAACTCAGATACCACTCCATCTAACATCCCATCACAGGCCATTGGGCATATTTACTGCCAATAGTCAAAGATCAATTAATTGCCAAAATTAGGCTATCCCGTCATACCACCCCCTCCATAAATTTGTCAAGCTTAGTCTTGAAGCCAGATATGTCTTTTGACCCTACTGCTCCTCTTGGAAGGCTGTTCCAGAACTTCACTCCTCTGATGGTTAGAAACCTTCATCTAATTTCAAGTCTAAACTTCCTGATGACCAGTTTATAGCCATTTGTTCTTGTGTCCACATTGGTACGGAGCTTAAATAATTCCTCTCCCTCCCTGGTATTTATTCCTCTGCTATATTTATAGAGAGCAATCATATCTCCCCTCAGCCTTCTTTTGGTTAGGCTAAACAACCCGAGCTCTTTGAGTCTCCTTTCATAAGACAGGTTTTCCATTCCTTGGATCATCCTAGTAGCCCTTCTCTGTACCTGTTCCAGTTTGAATTCATCTTTCTTAAACATGGGAGACCAGAACTGCACACAGTATTCCAGAGGAGGTCTCACCAGTTGATTGCTGCGTTCGGGAGGCAGGAGAGGGAGAGAGAGGAGGCGTGCCGAGCCCTCGCTCCTCCCCCCTCCCTCCTGCTGGCGGCAATCAGCTAGCTTGCGGCGTTTTGGAGGCAGGAGGGAGGAGCAAGGACTCGGTGCGCAGGCTCCCCCTGCCTCCCGAACGTGGCAAGCCAGCTGATTGCCCCGGCAGGAGGGGGGAGGAGCGAGGACTCTATGTGCCTCCTCTCTCCCTCCACTGCCTCTCAAACACGGCAATCAGCTGGCTTGCAGAGTTTAGAAGGGAGGGGAGAGAGGGGGGAGGAGCCAGGATGCAGCATGCAAAGTAAAAGGGGAGGAGGTGGGGGGGAGAAAAGGTGGGTTAAGGGTGGAGGCTTGAGGGAAGGGGTGGAGTGGGTAGGCTGAGGGTTGAGCCCTCTGCCCCTGGTGCTTGCAGAGTAGGGGAAGCTGCCCTGGAACCTAACCCCCCCCCCCCCATTTACATTGATTCTTATGGGGAAATTGGATTTGCTTAACATCGTTTCACTTAAAGTCACATTCTTCAGGAACATTACTGTATTGGCAATACCTCCCACCTTTGTGTCATCCACAAACTTTATTAGCGCATTCCCACTTTTTGTGCCAAGGTCAGTAATAAAAAGATTAAATAAGATTGGTCCCAAAACCGATCCCTGAGGAACTCCACTAGTAATCTCCCTCCAGCCGGACAGTTCACCTTTCAGTATGACCCGTTGTAGTCTTCCCTTTAATCAGTTCCTTATCCATCCCCATCTTTTCCAATTTAGCTAATTCCCCATGTGGAACTGTATCAAATGCCTTACTGAAATCGAGGTAAATTAGATCCACTGCGCTTCCTTTAGTCTTAAAAAAAAAAAAAAAATCTGTTACCTTCCCAAAAAAGGAGAAGGTCAGGTTGGTTTGGCACGATCTACCTTTTGTAAAACCATGTTGTATTTTGTCCTAATTACCGTTGACCTCAGTGTCCTTAACTACTTTTTCCTTCAAAATTTTTTCCAAGACCTTGCATACTACAGATGTCAAACTAACAGGCCTGCAGTTACCCAGATCACCTTTTTTTCCCCCTTTCTTAAAAATAGGAACTATGTTAGCAATTCTCCAGTTATATGGTACAACCCCCCTGAGTTTACAGATTCATTAAAAATTCTTGCTAATGGGCTTGTAATTTCATGTGCCAGTTCCTTTAAAGTTCTTGGATGAAGATTATCTGGGCCCCCCGATTTAGTCCCATTAAGCTGTTCGAGTTAAGTCAGTGTTATAGAGGGTGGACAATTTATGAGTTTACCTTGTATAAACTTTATACAGAGTAAAATGGATTTATTTGGGGTTTGGATCCCATTGGGAGCTGGGTGTCTGGGTGCTGGAAACAGGAAACCTGCTGGAGTAGTTTTTGGGTAAGTCTGCAACTTTGGGGGCGTGGCCCAAACCTGGGTCTATGTTGCAGCAGGCTAGCGTGTCTGGCTTTACAAGGCAGGGTCTGGAAGTCCTAAGCTGGCAGGGAAAACAGGCTCAGAGGTTACTTCAGCACGTCAGGTGACAGTGCCAAGGGAGTCTCTGTGACCGAACCCGTCACACACATAAGACATAGATAAACACCTAAGAATCTATATCAACCATCACCATAATATCTATACATCTTAAATACAACTGGGTCAGGCAAAGCTGAGCCAAAACCTAACACTGCACATATTGTGCCATACATCAGGTTACAAGGATTAGTTTTAACTCAATTACACAGGCCTTATGCTATTCTACCAACACCTTAAGATATGAAGCCAAGTCCAATGCATGAACTCGAGAATTTATCCCATAATTTACAAACTCCTCTAAATAGCTTTGCAAAGTTTTCTTACATTTGATTAAAACATGCAGTGATAGCAATGTTGAACACTGTACAAACACGTAAAAGACATACTGCCTTAAAGTGATAACATTCTAGACACTAAGATGGAGCCATTCCTTAACGTTAATGAATATAGGCTGACATTTTTGTAAGGTGAGCCATCTTGTAAGGTGGGCTATGCATATACACATGCACCATTTAAGGCAATTACTTTGAAGCTCATGCTCTATAACAGGTGCCTAGTATGACGGCAACGTCATCCATAGCAGCTCATAGCCCAGAGTTCCCTATGAAACAAGCAGAGTTCTTAGTTACTTAAATATCCTGCTAATTTAAGATGTAAGAGTTTTGTTGGTAACTTCTCTTTACAGAGGAAACTTTGTTCAGCATGTGGTGACAGGCAATGAATTCAAGAGCTTAGGTCAGAACCTGCTCTTGATTACATTTCCCATCTTTTGCTGATAGAAAGTTATATTACCAGAGACTGAATTAGCCAGGGAAGTGAAGGGGAAGTTAGTTTACCTTCATGCCCTTTGAGTGTTGTGATAACCGTGCATTTGTTCTGTTCAAGCTTCAGCAGCGTGATCTGTCCAGAGTAGTCCCCAACGAAGGCATGCTGGGTTTCAATGTCATATCTGAACACAAGTCAAGGAATATCACCAACTGTTCTCAGTCTCACTTGCTTCTCTTTACAGCAAAAATACTTTGCCAACATGACTAAAAAACAACTGGTTAAAGCAACAACCAACAGAAATCATACCGGAGAGATCTTTAGCAGCCCATAAACATAAATACTAGAGTGCTGATTTAGTACAAACATGTAACCAAGGAAAAAGACGGTTACTCACCGTTGTAACTGTTGTTCTTCGAGATGTGTTGCTCATATCCATTCCAGTTAGATGTGTGCGCGCCGCGTGCACGATCGTCGGAAGATTTTTACCCTAGCAACACCCGGTGGGTCGGCTGTGGAGCCCCCTAGAGTGGCGCCGTAATGGCGCTGGATATATACCCCAGCCGACCCAGCGCCCCCTCAGTTCCTTCTTGCCGGCTACTCCGACAGTGGGGAAGGGGGGCGGGTTTGGAATGGATATGAGCAACACATCTCGAAGAACAACAGTTACAACGGTGAGTAACCGTCTTTTCTTCTTCGAGTGCTTGCTCATATCCATTCCAGTTAGGTGACTCCCAAGCCCCACCTAGGTGGCGGGGTCGGAGTGAGACATTGCTGTGTGCAGAACCGCTGACCCGAAAGCAGCGTCGTCTCTGGATTGTTGCACCAGCGCATAGTGAGTAGCAAATGTGTGGACCGATGACCACACTGCAGCTTTACAAATGTCCTGGATTGGTACTTGAGCCAGAAAGGCAGTCGAGGAGGCCTGGGCCCTCGTGGAATGAGCGGTGAGGCGTGGCGTCGGTACACCGGCCAGGTCGTAGCAAGCACGAATACAGGACGTGATCCAAGTGGACAGGCACTGTGAAGAGACCGGTGAGCCTTTCATCCGGTCGGCCACCGCAACGAAGAGTTGCGTCGTCTTCCTAAATGGCTTTGTACGGTCAATATAGAAAGCCAGGGCCCTGCGTACGTCCAAAGAGTGTAAACGCTGGTCTTGACGAGTAGCGTGCGGTTTCGGATGGAAGACCGGGAGGAAAATATCCTGGTTCACGTGGAAAGGTGACACCACCTTTGGCAGAAAGGCAGGATGGGGGCGAAGCTGCACCTTGTCCTTATGGAACACCGTGTATGGGGGCTCGGATGTCAGCGCCCTGAGTTCCGAGACGCGCCGTGCTGAGGTGATGGCTACCAGGAAGGCTGTCTTCCAAGATAAGTACAGGAGCGAGCAGGTAGCCAATGGTTCAAACGGAGGCCCTGTGAGCCTGGAGAGGACGAGGTTGAGGTCCCACGTTGGAACCGGCTGTCGCTGCTGTGGGTATAGCCGGTCTAAGCCCTTGAGGAATCTAACGACCATCGGGTTCGAGAAGACCGAGGACGTGAGTTCCCCTGGGTGGAAAGCGGAAATAGCGGCGAGGTGAACCCTAATTGAGGATGTCGCCAAGCCTTGCTGTCTGAGGGACAGGAGGTATTCCAGTATCAAGGGGATAGGAGCCTGCGAGGGAGACGTAGCTCGTTGCTCACACCAGCAGGAGAACCTCTTCCACTTGGCTAAATAAGTGGTCCGCGTAGAGGGCTTTCTACTTCCCAGCAGGACCTGTTGGACGGCCTGCGAGCATTGCCGCTCTGAGCGACTCAACCATGAAGCATCCACGCCGTGAGGTGGAGCGACTGCAGGTCGGGGTGACACAGCCGGCCGTGGTCCTGAGAGATGAGATCCGGACTCAAGGGGAGCGTGATCGGCCTCTGTACTGACAGCTCTAGAAGTGTGGTGTACCAGTGCTGTCTCGGCCAAGCAGGAGCGACTAGAATTACCCGTGCATGGTCCCTGCGGATCTTGAGCAGCACCCTGTGGACCAGCGGGAATGGGGGAAAGGCGTAGAACAGATGGTCTTTCCATGCCATGAGGAAGGCGTCCGACCGAGAGCCCGGGGCTCGCCCGTGTAGGGAGCAGAATGCCTGGCACTTCCTGTTGGCCCGAGATGCGAACAGCTCGATCTGGGGAAACCCCCACCTCTGGAAGACGGAATAGATGATGTCCGGGCGAATCGACCACTCGTGCGTTTGGAAGGACCTGCTGAGACGGTCCGCCAGCGTATTCTGGACTCCAGGCAGGAATGACGCCGTGAGATGTATCGAGTGGGCGATGCAAAAGTCCCACAGGCGAATGGCCTCTTGGCATAGGGGAGATGAGCGGGCTCCGCCTTGCTTGTTGATGTAAAACATGGCCGTGGTGTTGTCGGTGAGAATCAGCACGCAACGGCCCTGTAGGAGGTTGAGGAAAGCCTGACAAGCCAGGCGCACTGCCATCAGCTCTCGGACGTTGATGTGCAGGGCTAGTTGGGACGCCGACCACAGGCCTTGGGTATGATGCTCCCCCAGGTGAGCGCCCCATCCTAGAGATGAAGCGTCCGTAACTAGGTGGAGGGAGGGCTGTGGGGCGTGAAAGGGTACTCCTGCACAGACCGCCGTGCGATCCGTCCACCATGTGAGGGAGGCCAAGACTGCGGTCGGAACCGTGACCACCATGCTCAGGTCGTCTCGATGAGGACGGTAAACCGATGACACCCAAGTCTGCAATGGGCGAAGTCGCAGCCTGGCGTGCCTGGTTACGTAGGTGCACGAGGCCATGTGGCCCAAGAGGGCAAGGCATGCCCTTATGGTGGTAGTTGGAAAGGCCCTGAGTCCTTGAATGACGCTTGAGATGGTATGAAAGCGGCTGTCTGGCAGGATGGCTCGGGCATGTCTGGAGTCCAGGATTGCTCCAATGAACTCTATTCTTTGAGTTGGCACTAGAGTGGACTTCTCTTTGTTGAGTAGAATGCCCAGCTCGTGGAAAGTGCGTGTCACTATGTGGACATGGGCCTGCACTTGGTCTCTGGTGCGGCCGCGTACCAGCCAGTCGTCCAAGTACGGGAACAGCTGTATCCCTTGTCGACGAAGGAAGGCCGCGACGACTGCCAGGCACTTTGTGAAGACCCTGGGAGCCGAGGACAAGCCGAAGGGAAGGACTGCGAATTGGTAGTGTACCCTGTTTACCACGAATCGCAGGAAACGTCTGTGGGGCGGATAAATTGCTATGTGAAAGTAAGCGTCCTTCATGTCGAGGGCGGCGAACCAGTCTCCAGGATCCAGTGAAGGGATAATGGTCCCCAATGACACCATGCGGAACTTCAACTTTACTATGAATTTGTTGAGTCCGCGTAAGTCTAAGATGGGCCGTAGACCCCCTTTTGACTTGGGTATCAGGAAGTAGCGGGAGTAAAACCCCCTGCCCCTTAGCTCCGAAGGAACCTCCTCTATGGCCCCCATAGCGAGGAGCCCAAAAACCTCCTGTGTAAGGAGTTGCTCGTGAGAAGGGTCCCTGAAGAGGGACGGGGAGGGGGAGTGGGATGGGGGGGGGCGAGGAAAACTGGAGGGCGTATCCCCTCTCCACCGTGCGAAGGACCCAACGGTCCGAGGTTATACGGGACCAAGCACGGTGGAAACGGGAGAGGCGATCCCGGAAGGGGGGAACCGGATCCTGGAAAGTGGCTAAGGTGTCGTCCTCGACCGCACCTTCAAAAGGCTTGCCTAGGCCCCGAAGGTGGCCTAGGTTGGCCCTGGTTCTGACCGGGTTGAGGGCCGGTCGACCTTCGCCTACCACCTCGACCCCGCCTCCTAGCAAAGTCCTGTCTTGGACGAGGCGGGGGAGGGTAGAACCGCTGAGGCTGTGGCCTGAAGGGCCTGCGCTGAGGCCCTGGGACATGCATCCCCAGGGAGCGCATCATTGTTCGAGAGTCCTTAAGGTTTTGGAGCCTCGAGTCTGTTTTCTCTGAAAAGAGGCCCTGTCCCTCGAACGGTAGGTCCTGCAGGGTCTGCTGCAGTTCCGGAGGCAAGCCCGACACCTGGAGCCAGGAGATTCGGCGCATTGTTATCCCCGACGCCAGGGTCCTAGCGGCCGAGTCCGCTATATCAAGGGACGCCTGTAGGGGAGGTGCATGCCACACGCTTGCCCTCCTCTACCAGGGCCCCAAACTCGTCCCTCGAGTCCTGGGGAACCAGTTCTTTAAATTTCCCCATCGAGGACCACATATTGAAGCCGTAGCGGCTCAGTAGTGCCTGCTGGTTCGCTGCCCGCAATTGCAGTCCGCCAGCCGAATACACCTTGAGTCCAAACAAATCGAAGCGCTTAGCGTCCTTCGATTTGGGCGCAGCGGCCTGCTGGCCATGGCGCTCCCGTGCATTCACTGAGGAAACCACCAGTGAGCACGGTTGGGGGTGAATGTACAGATACTCATGTTCCCTGGATGGGACAAAGTATTTTCTCTCAACCCCTCTGGCCGTGGGCGGAATAGAGGCCGGGGTCTGCCAGATAGTAGTGGCGTTGGCCTGGATGGTGCGGACCAGCGGTAATGCCACCCTGGATGGAGCATCCGCTGAGATGATCTGCACTATCGGGTCATGGACCTCCGCAACCTCCTCCACCTGGAGGTCCAGATTGCGAGCCATGCGCCGCAGTAGGTCCTGATGGGCCCGAAGGTCTATCGGGGGCGGCCCAATGGACGACGTGCCCGCTACGGCCTCATCAGGAGAGGACGAGGAAGATGCCCCCGGTGGCAAGGGGTCCAATGGTTGGTCCTGCTCCAGGTGTTCCTGGTGTTGGGCATCCCCTGCCCCCTGGTCAGGGGCCTCTGCAGGTGCGGGCACTGGAGCCTCCACGTCCCTTGGAGGAGGGCGGGAGATGGTAGACTCTGGGGCCCTGGTGTCCGAACGGCCAGAGCGGGAAGCCGACAGGGGAGCTCCTTGAGCTTGGTGGTAGGCCCAAGGAGTCCAAAAGGACCAATGCGCAGGCCCTTGCATCGGGTCCTCGGTCTCCTGCAGGTGGCCGGGCTCCACCGTCTCAGATGACCGGGACGCCGATCTCGACGGCCACGGCGGTGCCGAACCCGATGCCGTCGGCACCGGATGGTACGGTGCCGATCGGTGCCGACCGTAAGGGGACCTGTCCCTGCGTTGTTCCGGCGAACGGTGCCGGGACCTGGA